AAAATGTTGATGTATTTTGCTCCGTTCTGAACACAAGGAGCCACTTCAAGGAAACAAAATAGGACAGTGATGGATGGATTTATTTTTCTTAGTAATCTTCAAGATGATTATTATCATGTCGGTAACTTGATACTAAACAGCAAATATTAAGTAGATGTAATTTTTTTGGAGCAATTGCAACATTTTTACCTGACTTTAATCACATGAAATCTCAAATTTCTAAAATACATTCAAACCATTTTGGAAAAGGCCACAGAACTGCAATGTTCTAAATAGCCTTACATAAGTGTTTTCCTCTGGAATGGGCAATAGTACTACAAGATCTGTGAACTTATTTCCTTTTTTTGGAATCCACAATTCACGTGTCAAAGCAAACTATAATGTACTGTCTCTTTCTGGAATGATCATTTCATATCTACATGTAGCCCAATTATGGTTGGTAGATACCAAACACCAAAATGAATTCATTCAAGTTTTTAAAATATAGGACCAGAAGATGGTGTAATGGTTACATCACTGGACTCCCACATAGCCAATCAAGTCCTGGACCTGGCAGCTTAAAACTCACACCAGGTGTGTGTGCGTGTGTGCCCAAAATCCTGAGAGAAGAATGGAGGAGAAGGGATTGCAGCATGGCCAGCTCCCCTGGGGGATGATTTCTCGCTTTCTGTCTCTCTGTCTCTCTGGTGACTGCACATGCTCTATACCAAAAATCTCTCTAAAAATAAATAAATAAAGTTTCTAAAATACTTTCATTTTCTCATAGCCTCATATATTTAGGGAGGACCTGAACATTCTAGTCTGTGTCATGACATGAACTGGCTGTGTGACCTGGGGGCAGTCACTTAAATTTTTTTGTTCTAGCTTCCTTCTCTGGCAAAGATAATCACGTCTTCTGTACCCATCTCACAGGGTTGTTTTGGGAATTAAAGTTATGTGTGTATGAACATTTTGCAAACGTGAGGACGAATGGTATCAGAGTCATCCTCGTTCAACACACTCTGCTGGGCACAGCAACTGCTATTTCACTGGAGTAGTTTATCCACTCTCTCCAGCAACACAGCTACAGACTTGCCCTATTCCAGAGTTGCACTATTCCAGGGAACTCCCTGCCCAGAAAATACAATGCAAATGGCGCCCCTTGCGGATGCTTGGACTAGGAAACAGCATCTGAATAAATTGAGGCCTATTCTGATAAAGTGTGAAATGAAAAAGCCAGAACTTCTTTGTTGTACCATTGTTTGGGATTCTAAAGCAAGCAGCAGCCAAAGAGCCAGAAGGAGAGCTTGACCAGAGGAAGAAAACTCTCAGGAAATCAATTTTTGAACCTGGAAAAAGGGCCTAGAAGTGCTTTCTACCAATGCTACTCAAAGTGTGGTGGGCTGACCAGCAGAGCCCCAGCAGCATCTCCTGGAAGCATGTTAGAAACAGAGTCATGGGCATCCTTGACCTACTGAATGGAACACTCTGGGGATCTGACCCGGGGTATCTGTGTGTTTACGAGCTCTGCAGGGGATTCTTACTCATGATGCAATTTGAGAACTACTTCTTTACACTGTGTGTTCCTGGTCACAAGCGACTCCTTTCATAGTTAACAGAAAGCTCTGCTGAGTCTCAAATAGAGTGAAAGAGACATTCCTCCACAGACCTATTTCTCTGGGTAAATGAAAATTCATCTGAGCTGCAGAAGTACGCACGCGTACTTCCCTAGTGGGGAAGGAGAGTCAGAAACGGGCAAGAGCCAGTGAACGTGGAGCTGGTACCCGGCCTGGCTCTGCTCTGCCCCATCCCTTCCTATCCTTGCAACTGCACTATGTCTATTGTCTTCCCTGCCTCCTGGCAGTGCGAATTTGCAGAGTAATAAAGGGGGTGTTCTTGGGAATGCGCCCATTTCTATTCTTCTGGAAGAGAAACGGGAATATTTTTAGTTTTCAAAATGAGGGAACCCTAGAGTGTCTTTGAAAGGCAGACAAAAGTAATCATCCCTCCTACTTGCAACAGAGCACTCCAAACCAGGTTTAATTAAGTGTTTTAGCAGGAAAGTGGGGTTGAAGCGAAGTCTAGCCATTAACAAGGGAAATCTGAAGGAACTCCACTGAGGAATGCTCCCAAAAACAAAGATCTGGAAAATAAATCTTTTCTTTGGAGTGAACCTTAATTTCCATTAAATTGGTCAATTTACACAACAGGACCACAAAAGCTGTTTTGATTGGCAGCCCAGCTGAACAATTACGGGGTCCTGCCAGCCATCTCTCTCCAAGGAGAATTCTCACAAACGTGGTCTCCTGCGCTCCTCCAGAAAGCTTGAAACTCACTGAAGTCCAACCCTCATATAATTACCCTTCTCAAATGGACAGACATTAATCTCTATCATTTGGAGGAGTGGTTCTTATGCCACAAAATGAACTCAGATTTGCTACATGCAGTCTGCAGTTCTCCATGCGATGTGGTCAGGTCTTATGTCTTTAATTGTCCATTTTTCCTTCCCATCTTTCATTATGAAGCTTAAACTAACAGAATCAGGCCAGGGCCTAAGATGGCACCTCTGGCTCTCTGTAGAATGCAGGCTGGCCTGCCTTCTACCTGACCCATGTGCACACACTGTGTAGTCCCTGTAGATTCTCAAAGGCAGGCAATGTATTCGGTAGACATTTCTAAAACTCCCTGACAGAAACAATAACTCCATTTCTTAAATTCACTTTTCTCTTGGTTGGTTTAAATTTTAAATAATTAAGTAGACTGAAACATTGACATTCATTTTCAGTTCTGAGTTTGGGGTTTAGAATGAAGTGTTATTACAAAGGTATTTCCAGTTTGGAGGGATAAGGGGTTTGTATTAGTATCATTCTTCTCGTTGTTGTTCAGGTAACCTTTGTGTTACCCAGAGCACTTAGAGAGCACAGTATTCTCTTCAGCAAAAATTAGGCTTAAGGTAAAACAATCAGATCTGGAACATAACCATTTTTTAAAAGATAAAAATTTAGTGGATAACTTGACATTCGCTCTTTTCTGAATACAATTTAATATTACTAAATACGAATTGCAAAACTTTCAACTTCTCGACATCATCATCATGAGCTAATCATCCTTGTGCTTTGGCTCTGAGGAGGTGCCAATTACCAGAGGTTTTGGTTAGCAGAACAGGGCTCCCTCCCTCTCGTATTGCTGTTGTTTGGACTTGCACAGAAGCCACGGGATGGCTTTGCAGGAGCTGCCAGCAGCAAATGGGGAAACCTTGTCACCAGGTAAATTATTCAGAGTCTGCAGGTGACTAGCAGACCATCTGACTCAAGCACAAAACTACACAGCTCTGGATGGCACTGTCATGATGTTTGACTCTGAAAACAAGGGCGTTGTTTTCATTCCTTCCTAAGAGTATCAGAAGTGATAAACAACCTAGGATTCCAGACTTAAATGAAGTTTGTTGGTCCTGCAAAGCTATCCCAGGTTATAGCAGGTAAGATGTCAGAGACAGGCCCTCACCCCTGTTGAGGGATGGGCAGGCGCCTCTTGCTACTGGCTTAGACGGAGACCTCTCCTGTCTTTGTCCCAAAAGAGCTTCATTTGCCACAGGCTGTGTCAGGTCCCATAAAAACTCAGCCTGGGTCATGCATGCCCAGCTTTCACCCTGGGATATCTGAACACAAAAGTGTTTCATTTCTATTATTACTTCATCTCCATTAAAACTCCGAGATTAGTTGAAGGATTTGCACTAATAGATGGCTTAATATTTTTAATTGGCTAAAAGAATTACAGAAGGCCCTTTGTAAGGAGAGACTTCATTTCCCCAAGTGGGAGATCTCTCCGGGGCCTTTGGTTACAGCCACATCCATGGGCCTGATCAGAAAAAACAGTTTTTTCTATGGGAGTTTGCTTGTCCTTCCTGTATCCCAGTGAAGATCGGCAACAGCACAGCCCCTTCCAGGGCTGCTGGGCCTGCAGTTACTTGTCGCCTAAGGCCCTAGGTATTCTCAGTGGTGGCCAGCCTGACCTCACACAGCTGCAGCTCCAGCTGCCAACAGCTTTATGTTTTTGTGGCTGCCAAGGCCCCCCAATCACAGCCGGGACCAATCATTCATTCAGCAAAATATGCTGAGCTGTTCCTAGGTGCTAGGCTGAGGCCCAGATGCCCTGCGGCCACCAATCACTATGAGCATGAAATGCCTTTCAACTATTGTATTCTCTCACCCTCTGGGCCTGGGGTCAGAGAGAATTGAGTTAGATAATCCAGGACTCATCCTTTACCAGCTGTGTGATCATGGACACACCACAGCCTCAATGCCTCTGGGTATGAGGAATATAATGTAATTATACAACAATTTAAAATACATATTTTTTTTTTTGGAGAGGTTTTCACTATAGGGCGCATGCACTCGCCAGACAGAGAGAGACAGAGAGACAGAGAGACAGAAAGCGAGAAATCACCCCCTAGGGGGGATGGCCACGCCGCAATCCCTTCTCCTCCATTCTCCTCTCGGGATCTTGGGCACACACGCACACGCGCCCGGTGTGAGTTTTAAGCCACCCGGTCTGGGACGCGAACCACGGTCGACTACGTGGGAGTCCAGCGACATAGCCATTACGCTAACTGCTGGTTCCGAAAATACATAAATTATTGATCTCAGTGCCTAGAACATAGAGTAAAACCCAAAGGTTTTCAACCTCAGTGCCATTGATATTTGGGGAGGGATATTTTTTGGTTGTGAGGATTGTCCTGTCATTTTATGGCACCGAGAAGTATCCCCAGTGTCTACTTATTCAACACCAATTGAGACAAACAAAAATATTTCCATATATGGCCAAATGACCCATGGGGAACAAAATTGCCTCTGGTTGAAAATTACTGTGTAAAAATTTAAATGATAGTTTCTACTACTATCATCCCCATCATCATCATCTAAGAAAAAGCATACTTCAGGCATGCCTTTGAAAATTCAGATTCTACCTGCAGGGGTGAGAAAAGCATGAGAGATCCAGAAAAGTCATAGAACTGAACTTACCCTTACAATGATCCTTTCAGAGATGTGGGCAGACAACAAGTAGAACTGGTCCTGGTTAGCAGCGTATAGTCCAACCACCAACATGAAGTATCTAATTCAGAAACAGGACATCAATGCCCATACATCAGAGAGTGGAGACATATTTCATGTGGTCAAATACCATCCAACAGTTAATCAATGGTGATCTACTGAGAAGAGATTGCCTTTCTTCCTCTGCTCTAAATTATCCTCCCTGTGAGATGAGAGAAGTTGGTTCAATTGCCATTGTTTCTGGTCTGCCCTTTGCTCCATCAGAGACACTTGTGAGCTATTTTGTAAGCCACACAGCTGCAGGAAAGCAGCCCTCCCTGGGGAGACATCTCTCTGGGGACCTGGGCTCAATCCATCTGTGCTGACTGGTCCAGGCCTCACCCCACTGCATCCCTGGGCCCCTAACACAGCACCCTTCACAAACACTGCAGGAAGCCATCTTGGAGGCCTCCTTTTCCAGAGCCATCCAAGCCACATGACTTAGGTTCTAAGGGAGGGTGGCCCAGCAGGTTTGGCTGCTTACACAGCCAAGAGCAGGTGGCCCACTGGGTCCTTCCCACCCCACCTGCTCTTGGCTGTGTACACAGAACCTTCAGCACCCCCTGGTCTTGACATCAGCCCAAGCCTGAACCTCTCCTCCAGTTATTCCCAAGGCAATTTTTAATCACTGCTCTTTCTATCGCTTCTTCATGTACCACTGATGAGACAATTTTAAGATTAGATCATTTCCTAAAAGTCAAAATAGAAACTGTCTGTATCAGAAGCATTTTTGCTTTAAGAACTGTATGAAGAAACTTCACCAACTTCCTATGTAACACTATAAAGGCTCTAATTCCTAGGGAACAGAAGATGAACACGCCCTGTGTTTAAGATAAGTCAATGTGGGTCCAGCAGATGGTGTAAGGGTTACATCACTGAACTCCCACATAGCTGAAGCAGTTTAAGTCCTGCTGGGTACATGTGCGTGCATGCCCAAAATCCCAGGAGGAGAATGGAGGAGAAGGGATGGCAGTGTGACCATCGCCATAGGGGGTGATTTCACACTTTACCTCTCATTGTTTCTGTCTCATTCTCCCCAGAAGAGCTCGCATGTTCTAAGACAAAAGTCTCTTAAAAAATAAATTAAAACTTAAAGTAAATTAGTAGAAGTAATCATTGTTATCACTATTATCATCATTATTATTGGCTACCATGGGGAACTCGGGCTTAGCAGTTTACCTACATTATTTCATTTAGAGCCCCAGACAAGCCAATTGAAGTGGAATGTTGTTATTGTCCCCATTTTATAAGATAGAGAAGTGAGTCTCAGAGAGGTTAAGTTATGTGCCCAAAGTCACTCAGCTAGCCAATGTCAGAATCAAATATTCAACTCAATTCTCTCCAACTCCAAAACCTGCATTCTAAAATCAGTGTTTCTCAAACTTGAGCACACATCAGAGTCATCTTGGAGGGCTCATCAAACAACGAATTGCTGAGTCCCGCCCCTAGGGTTTTTGATTCAGCGTGTCTTTGGTGAAGCCCAAGGGCTTGCATCTCTAGCAAGCCTCCAGATGATGCTGTCCCTGCTGAGCCAAGGACCACACTTGGAGAATCACAGATCTAAATCGTGATGACAAGTTCATTTCCTTTTTTATTCAAGAAGGTTATAGTAGTGTTGCGGAACTCAGAGCATTATACTAGCAATCAGTGCACAGCTTTGAGAAGGGTAGTCAATCCTCAACTGTTGATGTAATGAAACATAAACACATGGTCACCCTAGAGTCATGAGTCAGGGCTTGGCAGGAGAGTGGGCATTACAGGGAGGGAAGATGAGAGAAGAAAGATGCTTACCCTAAATGAAAGGGAGGGTGTCGCAGCAGTTTTGGCTGCTCACCCAGCCAAGAGCAGGTGGCCCACTGGGTCCTTCCCACCCCACCTGCTCTTGGCTGTGTACACAGAACCTTCAGCACCCCCTGGTCTTGACATCAGCCCAAGCCTGAACCTCTCCTCCAGTTATTCCCAAGGCAATTTTTAATCACTGCTCTTTCTATCGCTTCTTCATGTACCACTGATGAGACAATTTTAAGATTAGATCATTTCCTAAAAGTCAAAATAGAAACTGTCTGTATCAGAAGCATTTTTGCTTTAAGAACTGTATGAAGAAACTTCACCAACTTCCTATGTAACACTATAAAGGCTCTAATTCCTAGGGAACAGAAGATGAACACGCCCTGTGTTTAAGATAAGTCAATGTGGGTCCAGCAGATGGTGTAAGGGTTACATCACTGAACTCCCACATAGCTGAAGCAGTTTAAGTCCTGCTGGGTACATGTGCGTGCATGCCCAAAATCCCAGGAGGAGAATGGAGGAGAAGGGATGGCAGTGTGACCATCGCCATAGGGGGTGATTTCACACTTTACCTCTCATTGTTTCTGTCTCATTCTCCCCAGAAGAGCTCGCATGTTCTAAGACAAAAGTCTCTTAAAAAATAAATTAAAACTTAAAGTAAATTAGTAGAAGTAATCATTGTTATCACTATTATCATCATTATTATTGGCTACCATGGGGAACTCGGGCTTAGCAGTTTACCTACATTATTTCATTTAGAGCCCCAGACAAGCCAATTGAAGTGGAATGTTGTTATTGTCCCCATTTTATAAGATAGAGAAGTGAGTCTCAGAGAGGTTAAGTTATGTGCCCAAAGTCACTCAGCTAGCCAATGTCAGAATCAAATATTCAACTCAATTCTCTCCAACTCCAAAACCTGCATTCTAAAATCAGTGTTTCTCAAACTTGAGCACACATCAGAGTCATCTTGGAGGGCTCATCAAACAACGAATTGCTGAGTCCCGCCCCTAGGGTTTTTGATTCAGCGTGTCTTTGGTGAAGCCCAAGGGCTTGCATCTCTAGCAAGCCTCCAGATGATGCTGTCCCTGCTGAGCCAAGGACCACACTTGGAGAATCACAGATCTAAATCGTGATGACAAGTTCATTTCCTTTTTTATTCAAGAAGGTTATAGTAGTGTTGCGGAACTCAGAGCATTATACTAGCAATCAGTGCACAGCTTTGAGAAGGGTAGTCAATCCTCAACTGTTGATGTAATGAAACATAAACACATGGTCACCCTAGAGTCATGAGTCAGGGCTTGGCAGGAGAGTGGGCATTACAGGGAGGGAAGATGAGAGAAGAAAGATGCTTACCCTAAATGAGATGTGGTAAAATGTTAAAGAGAGCTAGAGATGGAAGGAAAGTGGCTTAAGAAGTAAAGTGGCCCAATTTACTGGCTGGTAAGGCCAGGAGGATCAGAGGGGTCTCTGGAGGTCACTTTCTGGTCAGACGCAGGAACCAGCTACCCTTCAGTGTATCGGTGATGCCAGTACCTCTGGTCAGGATTCGGTTTTCCTTTCTTTCTCATATTATTTGCTGTGGTCTCACTAAAGTGTAATCGTCCCAGCGTTACTTTCGTGACCTGGTCAGTCAGCAGGTTGATTCTAGAACGAACAGGAGAAATATTGAGAGACTTTAAGAGAACACAGGATCTTTGGTACCATCTAGTCTATTCCTAGACTCCCAAGTATGTCTAGTCCCTAGTTCTCATCAGAGTACAAAGGGCAATTTATCCCAGTCATTGATTATTAATCAACTATCCACCACATGGTCTGGAGTGGCTGCCAGGAAGGCTATGGAATAGCACTTGAATGGTACGAAATGCTGAGTCAACAGAAGCTCAAGCCTGCTATTCTGACTTACGAAGGCTTTATGCTCCACGCGCCATATATGGGTTCTTTTACCTCCACAAAGGTGAGCAAAGACTAGCTCATTTGTGCCCCTGTCCCTGTGGCTGTAGCACTCACCTCCCAACTGAAGTAATTTCTCTAGGCTCCTCAAGAATGTCTTTGCATCTCCTTTATATTTTTGCTCTCTCCTAGCCTAGTGGCAGGAGGCAGCTTCCTCCAAAGGAAAGCCACAAACAGCCAGGCAAAAGAGAACCAAACGCACCAAGCAAGTTTAATACTGTGTGTGCACAGGTGGCTTCTGATCTGTCCAGGCTATAGGACCATTTTCTTTTCCAATCCAAAGAAGATTGACTGAGGGTCAAAACATTGTGATGTCTGAACTCACTGAGATGCCTCAACTCAACTAAATTGGTGAGAAAGCAAATCCTACTTAAAGTCATTCCACGGAGAACACTCTAGCTTTGGACTGCCATATTAGTTCATAAACTACCAGTCATGCCTGTTTTCTATCTTGAAACCCACCAGCAATCTATCAATGTAGCTTTAAAAAATAAGAAAAAATTAATTGTAAATGCATCACGGATCCAGAACCTTGAAATTAACTCAATCAGTATTGTGCTGATTTAAATAAAAATTTAAAATAAAGATCTATTCATAATGTATCTCAAGGAACCAAAGCTGTTGGTAAGGTTGTTAACAAGTCTGTTAGTAATAAATAATTACGTAAAACTATACCTTTTTATTAAAAAATGTTTGCAATGATTTCAATGCATTTTACCAACTTTATTTTTGTTGATAAACATGTTCATAATATTAGCATATTAATTAAGTTAGATTCTACTGTGGGTTTCATTTTAAATTAGAAAAATTAATTAACTGACACTTTTCCCCAAAACATTCATAAAATTATTCCAAAAATAAATTCTTACTTAACAGGATTGAATATCTTTTTGCTCCTATCTGCTTGGGACTGTTCAATAGCAATTATTTGATTGGTGGCTTCTACCTGTATGGAACGACAAAAAGTAAATTGATTCTTACAAAATAATTATTAATAATAAATTAGTAAAACATGTTTAGGTTCATACCTGTGTCCCTTCGTGATGCGGAAATGTTCTGAGAAATGCATTGTTGGATGATTTCACCATTGTGTGGATATCGTAGAGTGTGCTCACACAAACCTACGTGATATAGCCTAGCAAGACCTGGCTCTGAGGCTTAGCCTACATGCTCCGATGGGACCACCTTTGCATATGTGGTCCATTGTAGACCGAAACATCACATGGTGCCTAACTGTACTTATAATGCATGGCGCACTGCTAGGCCCTGGGGGAAGGTGCACGTCATTGAAAAGGTATATGAAACAATGGTCCTGCTTTGAAGGAGTGCACTGTTGAGCTGGACAGTGGTGAAGCAGTAGGAAGGCTCTAGGTTTGCCTCTAGAGATCGCCCCAAACATGCCCACGATCTGGGACTGGCTGAGGCTGGGGGTAGATTGTGATGTCAAGACCCTGTCTCTCTCTCTCTCTCTGTCTCTCATTCATGGAAGAAATAAATAAGTTCTTTTTTACAAAAGCAATCCACTCCAAAATTTTCACAATGGACTCATTAGTTTCATAATCAGAAAAACATTTCTTTTTTTTTTAAATTTGTATTTGTTTTTGGTTTTGTTTTGTTTAAGGTTTTGGATTGTGGGACCAGCAGTTGGTATAATGGCTATGTTGCTGGACTCCCAAGTAGTCGACTGCAGTTTGAGTCCCAGACCCAGTGGCCTAAACTCATGCCAGGCGCGTGTGCATGTGTGCCCAAGATCCCAATAGGAGAATGGAGGAGAAGGGATTGCGGTGTGGCCACCCCCCCTGGGGGGTGATTTCTCACTTTCTGTCTCTCTGTCTCTCTCCGTCTTTCTGGCAAGCGCACACACGCTATAGCAAAAACTTCTCCAAAAAAAAAAAAAAAAAGATTTTGGGTTGGAGTAACAACAGCTGAGGTATGCAGCAGCCAAGCCACCTTTTAGGAGACTCCAAGCCTAAGTGTGGGTCAACCATCACAATAAAATATGCAGATAGAGGCTCCTACTTGTAGAGCTGGGTATGAGGTAGTAATTTAATAAATCCGTTTTGACCACTCAGAAGTTATATTACCTGTGTTTAAAACCTAGCTCTTTCACTTACTGTCTTGGATTAATTGTGTTACATTACAGGGCCTCAGTTTTTCCCTCTGTTAAACTATAGAAGAAGGGCATTGACTAAATGCACAGTTCCTTAGCGTTCATAGTCAGAGATCTCTTTGAGAACTTGTGGAAACTATGCATCCACTCCATATGAAAATGTGCCAACATCAATAAGAACAAAATAATTAAAAATAAACGTAATAAATGAGCTGCAAAGTTATTATACTGAAAACTACAAAACTATAGTTTGAAATGAGGCTGTGCCAGTTTCTAAGCCCAGGCTTAAGAAATTAGCAGCTCCTACTTCCTATGTCTTGGAACCCTACCATCATGCAGTGAGGAAACACAGGTAATCCCACAGAGAGATCTGTGAAGAGAGGAGCTAAAGACTCCAGCCATGGCCCCATCTGAGCTCTAGCTGATAGCTAGCCCAGACTTGACAGGCATGGGAATAAGCCATTTTGGAAATGGCCCAGTTAAGCTGCCCTAACTAATGACTCCTGAGCAGAGATAGCTTGTCATAGCCAAGCCCTGGCAATGTTGCATATTTGTGACCAAATAAATTATGGTTATTATTTTAAGTTACTAATATTTGGGCTCATCTCTTATGTAGCAATAGACAACTGTAACAATAACATTTAATAGTAAATGTTGACTGAATTAAATTGAAATAAATAAAAGATTTACCTTAATTCCAAAAGCTTTCAAGTAAAACATTTCTATTGGCTTTAGGCCCATTTGTGTTTTAACAAATTTTGGACTTCCCCAAACTTGGATGTGGATGGTTATCTGAAAATGATTCTTCTTTTGGCAAACAAAAGCTTCATCTGCTGGTGAAAAATTAAATCCTTTGTCTGTGACAACGCGATAGCCCACATCAGGACTGTGAAAAGAGGAATCAATTAACCAGTTTGACAAATATTCCCTAC